CGGTCCAGGCATCAAGACCGTCCGTTCTGCAAGGGAAAGCGGAACATCCGTTCCGCGTGGAATGTCAGACCGTCCGGTCTAAGACCTAGACCGGACGGTCCGACTTTCGGGCAGATTTCCTATTTCGCGTTTTAAGGGTTTTGGGCAATTCTAATTAATGAGAGAGCCGCCACAAACCCTAGAGAATGAACCTCAGACGTCCAAGACACTCATGAGAGCTTAGAGAAGCTTGATTTTGAGTTCTAGTGATTGGAATATCGATTCCAAGTCAAGGACATCGTTTTCTCTTCACAAATCCTAGCAGATACGTTCCAAAGTGTTGGAATTCCTTCCGCCGGTGTGGATACGTGTAGAGGAGTTGTGCTTTCAACTCTTGGTGATTAAAACAGGCCCTGGATCGATTGATTCTTCCAGATCTTGAAAGAACGAGGTAAGTATTCGAATCCCACGACGATATACACGATTGTTCGGGTTATTGCACAATTGGATTTGTGTGACGTTTGGCTAGGCTTAGATCTTTCCTTCCGCTGCGTGAAACCTAGAATCCAAACCCTAGATCGATGAGATCGCATGCTAGGAACCCGCAGGGAACCTAACAGTGGTATCAGAGCCTGGTTATCTGTATATCGCCGTGCCTGTTGCTTGTTTGCATGATTTTAATTGTTAAAGTTCATGTAAACAATAGATCTTTGCAGGTTTGCATGATTTTAATTGTTAGAATGCATGTAGACTATAGATCTTTGCATGTTTTCATGGTTTTAATGGTTAGAATGCATGTAAACATGAGATCTATACTTGTTTGATGATTTTGATTGTTGAATGATGCATGGATGAGCGAGGTTCATGGGAGGCTTGATGGTGCGTCGAAACGGGGGTGAAAACCCTAGTTTACGGGATCAAAACCGAGATCCGAAGTCTGTCAATCGCGTGGACCGACCGGTCTAGAGTGTAGACCGATCGGTCTACGCATGACGGCGCTTATTCTTTTAGGTCAAAATTAGGTCAGACCGACCGGTCCAAGGGTTGGACCGCCGGTCTGGACCGATGACCAGAAGAGAATTTCGGATTACGTTCGACAGACCGTCTGGTCTGGTCTTTGGACCGTCCGGTCTGGGTCTGATGGAACGTTCGGTCTTCGGGGGTCGGTCTGCATTCGGTCATCCGTTCCAGAAGGTCTGGAACGGACGGTCCACGGATGGCAGACCGTCCGTTCCATGACGTTCGGGAACGGACGGACCATTAGAGGCACCCGTGCTTTTCTGACCGTCCGTTCCGGTTTTCAGATTTTTCAAAAATTAAACCGACGATCGCTCTGGACCTCGGACAATCCGGGATTCTGCAGAATTCAGATTTTTGATTCAACAATTGTTGTGTTGGATCAATTATCAGAATTGGAATCAGAGCCTCACATAAAACCAAGCTTGATGACAATCCAGAATTCAGAGTTTTGATTGTGCAATTGTTGTCTCGAATCAAATATCTGAATTAGGATATTGAGAGGGTTCTGGTATCGAATCTAAGGCAAACAAATGTTGTTTGGTCAAGAGATTCTGTACATAGATGACTCAAACGAACTAAGAGTAGTTCATCTGAGTTGATCAGAACAACTTGACTGGAATGACTTGAATTCAGTCAAGGTATCCTGGTGTTCAAGACAAATGAAACCTCATGTTTAATCTCAAACTATTACCGCCCATTAGTAGAGCAACTGTCAAGGCCTCGATCGTCATGCTTACGGGTCATG